TTGCTTTCCGAATATTATTACCGAACGTATTTTGAGTAGCCTATCTGCATATACACGTGAACTCCATCTTTGCAAACAGAAAATATCTTTACTCTTCTAAAACAGGACGATCATGATTGCCAATGAGACAACAATCTACCAGAGACCAAATGAGGTAAATGTTAGCTACTATAGGTCAATATGAAGCCCTCAATAATTAACAAAACCACATAGTAAGCTATAAAAGGCCCTTGACATGACAAACATTTGAAGCAATTCGACCAAGAACACCAACTGCAATATTTATGTTTAACCAACAAAAACGGAAACAAAGTTAATAGACAGCAACCAACAATAACCACTGAACCAAGGAATCCAAGTCACGGGACAAATATATTAAGAATGCGGAGATGCCAAACACTAACGAATATCCTCCCTCCAAAATAAAACAAAGAACGGAAATAAACGAATGATCAGTACAACAGCACACCACAAGAACATTGGTAATTATTATTGTTCAAAATTACACTTGTGATTTTTTTTTGTCCTTATGAGAATAAGATAAAAAAAATAATTCATCACACCTTCTAACAAACCACTGAATGTCCACCTAATATTTAATCAAATTTAGCGAAGTCAAACGATGCAAAAGTTGGCAGGTTAATACTTTTTAAAATCCTTCATTGCCACCTCAGTTACCTACTATATTCTTCCTTCACTTGTACGCGTACTTTTATTCCTCCGTGTAGATTTTCCGATGATTTAATTTACAATAGTGTTGTCATTCCGTAAAGACAGATGAAGAAACAGAATAAACACCCATATGAGACAATATCTGAAAAAGTATAATTTTTGGCAATAAGAAAAACCAAAACAAAAATGTCTTTAGAACCGGTATTTTAATACCACAAATCGAAGAACACACTTTGCGGATCTAGGAACTGTGGTCTGTAATTCAAACAATTGTTAAATGTGGTAACAATGGCAATTTTAAAAATGGTACAAAAATTCCAGTTCTTTCCTGTCACCAAAGTGAATCAATTTTAAAAAGTTTCTAATGGGAATAAGGAATAAGTTTGAGATACTATTTGTGGTTTACTTGTATATCCTGCAATAGTTTATCAAACGCCAATTATTTATTTTAGCATTTGCAATACAAAAGGTTAAGACATATACTAAAATATAGTCCGATATGTCGGTAACATGAAAGAATTTTGAGTAACAGGACAAGTAACAGGACAGAGTTGGTAACAGGAAGGAATTTTTTTTCAAAACAATTGCTTTATTTCATAGTTTGAGAAAAATACATCATTTCAGATTGGTCACAATTGGAAGATAACAGCAAACAATATCATTTATCTTTTGAAACTGTATTTGCAAGATGAAAAATCTGTCTAGGTAATGAAAAATTCTAAAATAAATTCCTTTCTGTTACCATCTACTATACTAGAATTGCACAATGTTCTCTGTTGTTATCAAAAGTAAAAAACCTGTCTTTTCATTCAATATACTGTATATTATGTTGAGATTAATTTAATATGATGATCATAACTTATATTAAATGAAATGGTTGGCATATAGTAGATTAACTTTGTGATTCATCAGTGAAATTGTCCTTAACATCTTTCCTGTTACTGATTATGGTTATGCTGTTACTTTTTATCAGGTAACATGACAGAACGTAACAGAAAGGAATTACACGGTACTTTTTGTCCTTTTATTCGAGTTGTGTAGAAGTTTACTTCCATCTACATATCAATTTAATAAGATACTATAAAAACACATTTACTGTTATAGTGCTGACAATGCAATATTCTCAGAAGGTACACAAAAAAGGCTGTAACAGGAGAGAACAACACAATTATTTTTCTCTAAATTCTGATCTTTGAGGAGTTCGGATTTTTCAAACTGGCTGCCATTCACCTATACATATGGAGTCATACATTCAGGAAATGATGCTCTTCTCATTGCATTACACGAAATAAAATCTTGGTCTTTCAAACGTTTCCACAGGTGAAAAAACCCAGTGGTAACAGGAGGGAAATAACCCCTTGGGACAAAATTTAAAAGACCCTTAAAAATGCAAAATTTTATCACATGCTTTAGTTATAACAACATCAGACCAGTAAGGAACAAGTTTCCTATAAAATCTATCATATTTGTGAAAATCGGAAGCCTGTTTACTTAATTTAGATATTCTTTGAATGATTTAGTTGTCAGAAAACAACACCGGACCACATGATTTTTTTTTGGGGGGGGGGGGTTGAACATTTAAATTATAATATTTTATTAGAAGAAATATAAGAAAGAATGTTTAATTTGCAACAGTTGGTGCATAAAATACTCTAGTTAATACTGAAACTTAAAATTTTCCAAAAAGACGCCTGAATAAAAATATAATTGCTGGTGAAAGATGGAACATTTCAATTAGACTTTTTCAGATATTGTCTCATATATATTTTGTTTATTTTGATTATCACAGGTTACTTTTTCCATTCACTGTATGATTTCTTACTATCACTTGGCGTCCGTCATTGTCTTATTCGCTTGACGAATAACTTCTGCCAGATGGAGATAACATAAATTTTCCTTTGTTTTTTTTTTGTGTTTGTGTATAATTTTTCCAGGATAAATTACCCTAGTGTATAATTTCCGCATGAACATATATTTTTACATGCAGGCTGATTTTGATATTTCAATCCCTCAATGTAAGTACAGCGGAAAAATGATATGTTACACAATTGTTAAACAAACACAAAATGTGTATTTGTAAAAAGAATAAGAATGCACTTCCTCAAGAATATTTTTGTTTTACAAAAGTATTTATTATACATTTCTGAAATCCTTATCTTTCAACCTGTAATTGTTGAAAACATAAATTCGAAATTCTTTTGTAAAAAATATTTCTTTCACAAACCCAACAGATATTAATTTTGAAATTATATATTTTTTTTTCTTTGAAATATTACTTTGAAATACACAATTGCCACATTATTGTGTATTTCTTCTTTGTCGATTTAGTACGTTTTGAGTCTTTCTTTTTTGTGTGTGATCTTTTGTGTCGTCATATGCATATACAAGCGTACTTTCCAAGATATCTCTCTCATTATTGCAGCAGGAATATTCATGGAAATTGGAAGATTGATTCTACAAACACTATTATGTAATTTTAATATTCTAACAATTTTTTGTATTAAAGTTTTTAAATGTATGACAATATGTTACATTAAGAATAGTATGTAAGCATGATGTCTGTGTGTTGTCCTTGATACATGTAACATACGATCACGTATCGACCTTGTTGTATCACGTATGTCACGTTCCACACCTAAGTCACCTAGTTAAGTGTCTGCACTGAAATTAGAGAAATAAATAAGTATCATCAAATCATGTAATGGATTTATATGAGAAATTTGTCGGAGGAAGCAATGAATGCTAAATACTCGTATTTTAAGAATGCTTTACCGAGATAGATTAATACGTTTGTAGACTTTTTAACAAATATGGTGATCAGAGATCTTGTTTTCCTTCCACCAACATAGGTAAACATGCATATTCAAAACTAGTATACATTATTGTTTAGGGGCCAGCTGAAGCCCGCCTCCGGGTATGAAATTTTCTCTCTGCGTTGAAGATCCATTAGTGGTCTTGAGTTGTTTTCTGGTCTTTGGTCGGGTTGTTGTCTCATTAGCACATTTCTAATTTCCATACTCTATCAATTATTAAAAAAAAACCAATATATCAGGAAACAAAATCGTCAGAATTAACCGTCTCTAAACGTTTTTCAATAAAAAAAAATTAAAAAATGAATTGTCAAAATGTTTGTTAACTCAGATATTTGAAACATATTAAAAGATGAGTTCGTGTTAGTTACGATTTATACACATACAATTTTTCTCAAATGTATACGTATCCAAAATGTAAAGATGTCAAATGTCTGATTCTTATGTATACAATACATTCGTCCAAACATTTGAAATTAATAAACTGTGTTATTATTCATCTACAACCATTTATTAAACTGCCATTATTTATTGACAAACTGTGATTCTTTGAAAAAAAAATGATTGGTTTAAATAAGTTGCTTCTCATTTTGGAAATCAACATATATATTGCGAATAAGACCAGTCGAGATTTATGGAGATTCTTTTTTTTTTGTCATGTTAAATTGAACTGTTCCTAAAACGCTTTTTTTTTCTTTTTTTTTTTTTTCATAAATATGCGCGTAGAATGCAAAACTATATTACATTGAACAAAATGCAGGAATTATTTTACTATGTAAATATATGCAAGTACAGTCATATTTTGATTTTGGATTTTTCAGGTAATTTCCCTTTAATCCCATGTCTCACATGCAAAATATATGAACAAGACAAAAAGCGTGACACTTTATTACCGTTTTGGTTTTTTTGCAACCACAACATGTTTTAAAACGACATGATATAATCTGCGCAATAGTATTATTTGTATATCATTTCGTAATTCTATTTTCCGTCATTGGTGGTATATAAGAAAGAAATTTTATTACACTTCTTTTATTAAACGTTTTTATTGAAAACAGCTTAACATTTGAAAAAATGGCATCTAATGTTGCCTTCGAAGAAGCAGTTGGAGATTTATCATTTTCTTTGTACAATGCAGTGGAAAAAAGTGGAAATGAATTGATTTCTCCATATAGTATAACAAACGCCTTGATGCTTCTGATGCTCGGTACAGATGGAACTACATACAAACAAATGAGATCTTCCCTGTTCAAACAAAAAATAGCAAGTGATGTCAACATTGGTTATAAACTTCTTAACGATAAATTGTCTTCACTAACAGGGACTGGAGTAGAGCTTTCGATTGGTAATAGACTTTTTGGAGATAACAAATTAAATGTTTTGAACACATTTACAGCGAATGCTTTACAATACTACGGCAGCGATTTAAAACGCATGAATTTTAGATCGGCACCAGATCAATCAAGAATCAGCATCAATAATTGGATTGCAAATGCAACGAAAGATAAAATCAAGGATATGTTTCCACCTGAAACTATAACTTCGGGAACTAAAATGGTCTTAGCCAATGCAATTTACTTTAAAGGAAATTGGAAAAAGGAGTTTAACCCACATAACACAACAAAGAGGAATTTTCTGGACAATTCTAACCAGCAAAAACAAGTTGATATGATGTATGACCAACGCTATGTGGTTGCTGGTGAGAACACCGAGTTGGATTGCAAGATTTTGCAACTTCAATATACGGGAAATAAAACATCAATGATATTTCTATTACCTAATGATGCAAATGGACTATCTCAACTTGAAAGTAAAATTACTATGACAAAGTTTAAAAGTCTGTTTTCTGGAATGTGGCAACGAGATACAATAATCAGAATTCCAAAATTCGCATTTGAAGCTAAATATGATCTAAAACCAGTACTTACGTCATTAGGAATTAATGAAATATTTGACTCGCAGACAGCAAATTTCGCAAAGATGACAACCATGAAATCAGTTTTTGTAACTGACGCCCGTCATAAGTCATACATAGAAGTCACAGAACAGGGTACGGAAGCTGCTGCTGCTACAACGATTGAGATGGGGCTTGGAAGTTCAATGAGCGGACCTTTTCAGTTTGTGGCTGACCATCCATTCATGTTTGTCATACGGGATAACAATTCGGGAACTATTCTTTTTATTGGACGGTATGCAAACCCATGAACGAATACTTAAAGTATAACATCAGCTCTGAAAGCATAGAGTCGGTTTGACACGTAAACGAGAAGATTGTCAATTAAATGTATAATCAAGTATAAATAAAATTTGCTTCTATCAGTATTGCAATATTCATTATCTTATCTGAAATAACTAGGTTGTATTGCGTGTACAGTCTTTTGCCACGTCATCACTCGTCCATTCGATGAACCGTTTTAATCTTGTTGTTGCTTTCATTTTTATTTTAAATATTCCATATTGAATCTGGTCACCGAAGTAGTGGATAGCAGAAATTTCTTACCCTTAACCGGAAAAGCTGGCTATATCCCTAAATCTATATTTTTTTAGGTTCTATAAGGTCCTTCTCAGGTTTGGATGAAGGTGGCAACACATTATAACAAATCAATCACATACTAAACAGTAAACAGAGCAGAAGGCTAACTGTACCAATTGATCACTCAACGCTCTTCTTCTTTATATAGGTTGAACTTCTAATTTAACTATCGTTATTATTATATTTATTGTACATTTTTGTATCACAAGTATTGCTTTATCTCAAGCAGAACTGGATACAGAAGCAATCGTATTATTGAATGAAATTTATATACAATAACAAAATTGTATATTGTTTTTATTTTCATGACTATGAGACCCAACCATAACACAAATAAAACAACATAGAAGTTCAACATGCATATAGGTCACCATTTTTATCATACGCAAGATGTTCATAGTAAACTTTTTTTGGTTGTTATGAAACAATCCAATCAAAATCATTTTTAAAACTTCTTCAAAAGAGAAATGTCTATACATTTATTAGAGTTATACAGCAATACAAGGTTTATGTCTAAAGACAACATATACATGTGTCTTGAGTTGAAGGAATAATAACACCATTGTCTTAGAAAGTGAAGTTTTTAACAATTCTACAAACATTATTGAACTAAGGATCTAGAAATATGAACTCTATCAAAAGCTGGTGTGGGTTAATAAGTCAGAATGCTAAGAGGTCTCTGTTCAATGAGTTAAAATCGTTACGTCCGTGTAATAAAATAAATTAATCAGTATGTTTTTGTCTTTGCAAGATTGATTGTTGCTTTTTGTTTTATGCCCTGTGAAAAATATTTCATGTATGCTCAGGACGAGAACTGTTTAATAATAAATACAATAGGTTTGTCCTTGAATAGGGGTTAATCGGTCTGATTTAAGGAACATGTGGATGCCACTGAAAAAAACTAGGGTTTATTGGATAGGTACAGCATATTTGCCGTGAAATACGCCTCCTACGGTCTCCCTAAAGGGCTGTTGCAAGGGTTTTTTTAAATTGCTTTAAGCCTGACACTCTCTCTTCACGAAGCAATGAATTTGACGTCTACATTCTGATCGAACGTTGGTGAGTATCTATATATATTCCGCACCGACAAATGGAGAAAAATTAAAACAGGCTCTATACATGAAGCAAATAATTTGACGTCTCCATTCTGACTGAACGTTGCTGAATATTTATAAATCCTGCACAGACAAACGGACGCCCCTTTGTCACAAAGGTTTCATTGGCAATGAAAAGAAGACCAGTGTGTCCATATTACTATATCTCAGTCATCATTGTGACATCGGTTTTTTATTTCTCTCTTTACATTTACAAATTCATTTCTCCATAACCATTCTCTAATCACTGAACATTAAACACCTAATCGCTATTTAGTCCAATCCGCAATCCCCCATTACTTAGACAACTTCCTGTTTGGGTCAAGTGTTTCAAAAACAAAGGTCATCAGTAGTTTGTGTAGTTTTTGATCAAATCTTTTAAACACAAATTAAAGTAAGAAAAATCATTTTTGTGAAGTTTTTACACTAATTTGATGCGGACAATATTTTATAGTCATCGTGGTCATAGTGTACCAATATTGCTGTCATTTGTTTAATACAATCCATCCTGAGTTGGGGTTTTTTCTGATCTATGATGCTGCAATAACATTTTCAAAATAAAGTGCAAATGATCATGAATATGGTCAGTCAGTAAACAATTCCCAGATGATACCACCTCATACATGTCATACTTTTTATTATAAAGTACAAATAGTGTTGAGTTGACCAGCCAAAAGTTAACTTGAAATCAGGTCTGATTGGATCGGAGTTGTCAAATCAAAGTTAACTTATATAAGGTCTGGTTTAGAAGTTACCTTTTAATAGTAGCGGACCTGTATGAAGTAAACTTTTTCGGCAGTCGTCCTAGGACCAAGTCCAATTTTCAAATTAACGTGATTGTGGTCCTATGACTGGTCAAAGCAGTCCTAAATTCTGTAGCAGGTAAACTTTGACCAGTCAAAATGACTGGTTAGCATGTTAACTTGCTGTACAGGTTAGGACTGCACCCATCTGTACTTAAATTTATTACTATTCAATACTTTTCTCTGTTTTCTAATCAGTTTGACTTGCATTGATTATGTTGATGATGAATATGAAAAATGCACTAACATATGTAAGTATGGTCCAGATTAGGGTCGAGAACAAATCAGTACAGTCGAGTAGGGATAAGATCGGTCTCAAATTATTTCCACTAAAATTCTGACTGATTTAGAATGGTCTAGTTAAACTCAGTAAAGTGACTTGAACGCTCAATGATAATGAGTATGTTTTTAAATGTTCGTATATTCCGTTTCATCATTCAGCCTCGTGCTAAACATTCTTGTAATTTTGAATTTATAAGTATATATGAATTACAGTTATATATGCCAACTTATAATAGATAAGAAAATATTTGCCTATCTGTTTGACACCGGTGTCATACAGATGATATTACATCAGAAGACTTTGTTCGTTAAAACTATAGCATAACAGTACAAGTAATTGTAACAAATTGATTACCATGGTCTTAAAAAAAAGTTGTAACAACATCTGTAAAGCATTATTTCTGGTAGAAAGATGATACATCTACGTCAACTTTCTTCCATTTAGCCCATTGTGTGGCCATTATTTTCCACTAAAATAATTCTCATTATAAGATTCCGTTTCCAATTCATGGATTAAGGCTCGCGGTTTGACCCTTTGGTTAACCCATGTAGTTAGTTAGTATTGTTGCTAATTTTCAGACCCAATGATAACATGTATAACCTCAAGACAACGAGGGCCAGACTGTTTCAGAAAGTTAACCGAATATTCAATTGACAGGACATGACATTAGGTTTATGCAGTGTTTGGAGATATCCGTAAAGTCTCTTTTCCGTCACTTGACTAGATGTGCAGTGGACTCTTATTGGTTGTTATTGGCTTTGAACTGCTAGAACTCTCAGATCTGTTATTTGTGTATTCTGTGTTTTTATTATTTGTTTTTGTTCTTTGTATATATCTGTTGAGATAAGCCCTTTTCAACTGATTTTTATAGTTTGATATTATGTTGTACTGTAACGCCACTGTTCCAGGTTCGAGGAAGGTTAGCGCTTCAACATGTTGAACCCTGCCACATTCTGCATTTGACTGTCACCAGTCAGGAGCCTGTTACAAATGTATACTGTGGTTATCGTAAGATTTATTGCTGTATATCATGTATGTTTTTCGTTTATTGTTTTGTACGTGACTTAGACCGTTAGGTTTCTTGTTTGAATCGTTTTAAATATATCATTTCGGGGCCTTTTATAGCTTGTTATGCGGTATGGGGTGCTTATTGTTAAAGGCCGTACCGGGACCGTAGTTGCTAACCTTTTACGTCATTTAGTCTCTACTGGAGAGTGGTCTCATTGAGAATCATAGCACATCTTCTTATCTTTATATTGTTTGTTAAAAATGAGAAAATGTTAATGTACAACATTTAGGTTTTAAAACGGTCGACCTATGTGGGGTTCTATTTCAGGCTATTATAAAACAGATAACACAAACTTTTTGTGATTTATTATCCATGGAATTCATCTGACTGATCTTTTATTTTGTTGTAACGTATATGAAAGACATCATGAACGTGTCACATTGGTGTTTCGAGCCTATTGGTATGCTAAAACAGCAGGGAACCCTTTAGATTGAAATTGTTAAACATATATCTTTGATTCATTGATCTTTCCTGATTCATGGTGAACTAGTATTCCCTAACAGTCCCTATCAGTTATGTTAAAAATATGTTCTACCTTCTAAACTTCATTTTATAAATAGTCGTGTCCATGAACCAATCCCAGCAAAACTTACTAATACCATCGTGTAAAGGGATTGGTTCATGGACACGACTATTTATAAAATAATCACCATAACATCTTACACCAACGTCTTCGCCATGTCTACAGTTATGCACACTCCATCATTTATGATTACAGTTGTCAATTCTATTGTTCTGTCCATTACAAGACAGAAACCTGAAAATGCAATGCAATCTAAAAATTATTGATTGTTTGTGTCTCGCAGTCGCCAGAATGAGCTTTAGTTATTTTCTGTTGGTCATCCGTTAATAGTTACACTATTCGTTATGGTGATATTTTTCACTGTGGGATGATCATAACTTATTATAAAGCAGGTTATGCTTACCTGTACTCTCTTTATTTACTTGAGTTCATGATATTTTCGAAGATAATTCATCCCTATGGGTATATTCAAAAATAATCTATGAGTTTTTAAGTTTTTTAAGTCTCACCGCATCTTCAGTTGCTTGCAGACTACTAATGCATCTTTAGACCCAAAAGGCGTCGTCACAAATTGTTCCCCATGAACCACTATGATGAATATTTAGCCGATCATTATCGCTTCCTCCAACTAACCACAAATCTCCTTAAATATAATATAGGATTTTGCAGACCTTATGTTCAATATTTTTACATGTCAACTATCTGTTATAGACCACTACATGCACTATACAGAAACCCCTTTCAAAAAACCTAAATTTTATTCCTCATTACTGGTAGAATGACTAAAATATAACCATGTTCAGTTTGTTACCTACTTTAAATGAACTCGTTTATTAAGAAGATAATATTGTAACTTTAATCTTAAAGTATTTGAATTGATATTTACTCATTATCGTTGCT